TTACATGCTCATAATAATTGCAAACAAGTTCCACTTTGGAAATTAGTTTGATATGACGTTTTAATATCTTCTTCTGCCTTTGTTGAATATTATTATTTAAAAGGTTTTGGTGTCACCTTCTCTTTGAAATTTTGTTGTTCTTAATTTGCAGGATTATGGGCTCTGAGTCTGACAGTTGATGACTATCAAGGTCTGTATCTCCTGTTTTTCTAACAAAGTTGTTCTGGAGAACTTTAGATAGCAAATACTTGATCTTTCGTTGTTTAAAAAGTATAATAGGGCCTTTTTGCTTTGGTATTTTATCTTGGAGCCTTTTCTTGAATGTTACGAGTTTTAGTGAAATCTCTCTACATTGTAGCTCTTCTTGATAGAGGTTGGAGAAGGTCGGGCTGCTTTGTATACAAACCTGAGATGGAGAGGACATGCTGTCCGTCGTATACCATCCGTCTCGAAGCCAGTGAATTTGTTCCAACTAAAGAGCAACTTCGAGTATCAAAACGAGTGCAAAGGTTTTATTGTGTTGCAACTCCTTCTATCTCCTCATGTTTATTCTTCGGTTTATCGTTGAATGTTCACCCAAGGCAAAGAAAAGTTTGGGCAAAGTTAACATAGATACACATGCATCTATATACCATTGGGAAGCGCATAAGTGCCTATATCGTTTTCTCTCTGTTGGATGTGCTGTTTTGATTCGTACGTGCATATATTAGTGAATGTGAGTAATGACAACCTTGTATTTCTCCAGAGGTTTAGATCCAACTATTCTTGGTTGATATAAATGCCAACTCTAGTATAATGCTACATTTTTCATGTCAGCTCCAGTTCACGGCTTGCCAGGAAAAGAATTTTGCACCGTTTGGAATCAATCTTGAAGTATTTGCTACTGTCTGTTTGTCCAATTTATAGAATGTACTTGCTATCATAACTCTGGTTCCTTCTTTTCCAATTGGTGCTTTCTTCTTTGTATCCGGGTTCTTTACAATTTATGTGTTGGAATTCTGGAATCCTCAATGGCTCATTTGCTAGTCTTTCCAAAATTGTGATTCCAAATTGAGTGCAAAATTATACAGTGAAATATAAGTTATCTAGATACAATGAAAAGTTTCAGTGAAAGTAATTAAATACAAAAGTGACTTTCTTCTAGGTTTCTAGATGGCACATTGGATGTTAGAAAACCAGAGAAAGTAATGAATGAATGGAGTATTAGTGGGGGATCCTGCAGCTCTTCCCAAAATGAAAGTGCAAACTGCGTGGCAATGGAGTTTTCCTCAGGTGATCACGAAGAACAGAAGAACCAAGGTGAACAGATTATACACTGCTTATCAGACCAGATAGATATTGTGGTTCAAGAATATGTTAAAAGCGCATTTTCCTGTGATCTTGAATTGCCAAAAGCTTCTGTCAAAGTAGTTGCACCAGCTAAAAGAAAGTTACTTGTTGAAGGGTCAGAAGACTTATTATTCACCAGCAATGTATCATTCCAGATCTCTGCTGCTTTAAGACAAGCTAAGAAGGGCATTGGACATGTACAATATTCAAAGTGCAGTACAGAGGAAAATGGTCAGTATCCTGAGATTTCTCCAAAATTGATTGCAGAAATTCTTGCAAGGCACCTAAAGGAGGTGCCAGAATCCTGTGGTTTGTCAATTAGAGCTTGCAATGGGCACATTAATTTCTATTCTACTGGCAACCAAAATATGTACAATGATATCGTTAAAAGTGGGACAATGTGGAAGCAGCTACCTGCAGAAAGTGGTAGGAAACATAGCTGCTTGAATAAAATCTTTGTAACTTCTCAAGGCAAAAGAAGGCAGCTTGAGATTCGTTTGAGAAGGTCCAGTTATGATCCTGAAGAATATTCCTTGTACAGGAAGTACCAACTTAGAGTGCATAATGATACTCCCGATCAGGTCTCTGAATTCTCATACAGGAGATTTCTGGTTGATACTCCCTTAATATTTGTTCCTCCTACTGGAGATGGTACAGTTCCCCCTTGTGGCTTTGGTTCTTTCCATCAGCAGTACCTGATCGACGGGCAGCTAGTTGCAGTTGGTGTAATAGATATTCTTCCTAAATGTTTGTCTAGTAAATATTTATTCTGGGACCCAGACCTTGCCTTCTTATCACTAGGTAAGTATTCAGCCCTGGAAGAAATAAGATGGGTGAAAGAGAATCAAGTACATTGTCCCAGTCTACAATACTATTATCTTGGTTATTACATTCACTCATGCAACAAGATGAGATACAAAGCAGCTTATCGACCCTCTGAACTCCTTTGCCCTCTTCGCTATCAGTAAGTTATTCTTCTTCCTTGTGAAAATGGGACAACTAAGTGAAATATCATAATCAATTAATCTCATAGTTTGGAGCACCACAGCATGGTTGTTTTCCATTCTTTTTGGGTGTTATATCATACTTTTAGCCACACAAGATGAACCCATTAAATGTTACCAATATAAGTTTGTTCTATGCACTATGATTTCTATTGCTGTTAGGAATTTGCTTTTGTCCTCGTGAAGGCTACGGTTTTGGGATGAGTTACATCCAATTCTTTTACTTTAAAGGCATATTTTTGGAGTGGTGGATGTGCCACACTAGTGGCATCAGTTGCACTCCTTTTTTTCTTTTCTTTTTTTGGTGGACCATTCTTGTACATTTCAGTTGCATGACCTGAAAGATGTATTCCAAGGCTAGCTTGGGATGGTCAAATCCACATGGTCGCCCTTGGAATCCCTGTGTGTGCAGTATTAGTTAGAAAGCTTTATATTAAATTTAACCATTTAACATTTGTGTCAGACAGGTCGATGTGAAGTTTTGGGAGATTAATTATGGCGTGAAAATCATCATTTCTCGTCTAAATAATCATGAAGGTTTAATTAAAAACAAGTATTTTTTTCCCCAGTCTATGAAGCCCATTTTTTCCTTAATGTAACACAGATGTTATTCTTCCACATATTCACTAATAATTGCAATGGATTTTACTTTGTCAGCAAGTCACAGTCTTTGGAACCCACCTGGTCTTCAAGCTTTTAAGTTATTTCTAACTGGCATTATTTTCTGTAGGTGGATTCCGTTTGATGTTGTGAAGCCCCTGCTTGACAGGAAAAGATATGTTGTTTTATCTGATTTTGCCTCATTAACAAAGGGGGAGCCGTTGCCACCTACCACTCTTCAAAACCATATGGAAGATCTCCATGGCGATCTCTTCAGTGAATGCAAAGATGATGTATTTATTCATGAGGACGTGGAAATGATTGAACTTGATTCTGAAGATTCTGATGTTGACTCAGAGCCAGAAACTAGTTCTTCACCACCTGCAGCAGCCGAAGATGGAGATGTTGGTAATATCTTGATTGGTATGAAGTCATTGCGGTTACGATTTAAGGTATTTACATGACATTCTTTACTTTAATTATGGTATATTTTAATTGTCAGTATCCTTTATCGTTAGAGAAGACATTTCTTTTAAGTTGGTATCTTCCATGTTAATCTAGTAAGACAGTTATGGAAGTATTGGCTTTTCCTTTCTAAATAATCTAGATTTAAAAAGGCAAAAAAAAAAAAAAAAAAAAAAAAAAAGACGAGTGCCAGTCTATAAATGGTACTTCTGTTTTCAATATTAACACATTATCCTGTTTGTAAAGTTTACCTCTAGTTGCTGCTGACAACTCCTTGAATTCAGCGACCCTGACACATTACACATGCCTATGCTTGAATGCTTCGATCTTAGTCATTACCTAACTTGTACTGTTTTCAATCACCCTGGAATGTCTTACTGTAGATCGCTAAGAAACTCACTAAGGTAGATCAAATTTCCCCACTTTGTACTGCAGTGTAACTTAATCTAAATCTTATTGTGCTTGAAGGACCTGTGTCAAGCTTTTGGTTCCAGCGGAATGAAGTACATGGAAACCCAATTGCAGAGATACATGAGAGCTGTTGGTGCCGAACTCTCTGAGCGCATGGTGTATCAGCCTGATCTGCCATTGACAAGAATGCAAGAAATAGACGAGTGATTGAAAGGAAAATCCGGACAGATTGAAATGAAACTTGCTGTCTGCGTGGAATTTTAGAGTAACCGATTGCTGATCAGGTTGTGGAGTCTTGAGAAACAAAAGAAGAAAAATTGGTGCTTATTGATTTTGGGTGAACTGATTTTGAGTGGTTCACTTAGCAAGTTGTTCACCTTAAGTCTCAAATTGCCTGTAATCTGCTTCAAAGATGTAATCTTGACCGACCTTCATGTTTTAAGTTAAATGTATGTCTTAATTGCAAGACAATGACCGAACACTTGCAAATTCGAGACTACCTATAGATGATCATTTTCAGTTTCAAACAGGGATGATACTATTTGTGTTCTACTTTTCATGAGGTCATGCACGACTTTCTTTTCTACAGTTTCTTTTGTAGGTGTTCTAGAATATTTATGAAAGAGAAAAGACGAAGGATTATTGGCCGATTTGACTTTCGAGTTGCATGATTTGCCAAACGCGGGTTGTTAATTAATGTTGTTGGTGTTTATTGTATTTAGTATGCTAAGCAAGCAAGAACATCAACCTTCCTTTTTGTCGTGATGATAAACCTTCTTATCCATTTCCTTAAGAAAGTCTTTTTGGGCCAAATCTCTTTTAACTCTCGCACGCTAATAAAAAAAATCTGTGACCAAGAAATTCATCATCCCAGAAGCGGTTTGGGACAATAGCTTCCCTAATATTATCCTCTGTTTTTCCTCTCTTTCTCTCTCTTTTTTTGGGGGGTTGATGCACGTATGGCTGTGCGCTGTCCGGCATCCAGACCAGAATATCACCAGTGCAGGTATGCCGACAAAAACCTTTTAATTTTCTCTCCAATGTATAAAACCTCAGTCGATAAAATATGCGGAGTAGGTTTCCTTGGACCAGGACCAAGAGAGAAGTAGATGGTAACATATCGACTGCAAGTCTGTGGTTGCCAAGTGCTGACGTTGATCAAAATACAAGCAAATGTGTAGCCAAAACAAATGAGCATTCACCAACCATGTTTTGATGATCAGATGCATCTCTAGTTATAACCAAAAGAGCTTTAGAACTTGTGATCAATGGCCATAAGTTCCATGTTCGGTCAAACAATATGAACATTGTCCAGCAGATTTACATACATGATCCCTTTCAGCAAGCTGAGGAATCCAGGGCACGAGGATTTACCAATTTAAGAATCCAATAGTCCAATAAAAAGCAATAACAGTAGCAAGAATGTACAGTTGGAAATGGAAATTGGCTTTCAATCATAATCAAACATCATCGGCGTCACTTCCTCCTACATATGCTTCATGGCTCGTCCAATAGTTGCTCCCATCGGGGCCTGAAATCTTAAACCTGCTCATCATTCAAGAGAAGCAAGTCAAGATTCATGCGGTGCATTCAAAAAGATATCCAAAACCTTTTAATCTAGCATTCACTGACCGTTCAAGTACAGATTTCCCTTCCTTGTACTTCTGACCCTTTTCATGGGCAGTTTCCTGGAAGCAACCATTTGAAGCAATTAGTACCATAAAGAAGAACATGCACCACAATTTTTAACATAACATGCCTCTGGATCTTACATATTTCCATCCAACAATGGACCCACAACGGACACAGAAAATGTCAGCAACAGTGTGCAGTCCAGTCATCATCATTCTTTCTTCTTTCTCTCCAGCAGTTACATTTGCTCTGATAAAATCAGCGAAGGACAAGGAATCACTCAAGTGAAATGAACATAAGATAATTTTCAGTAAATTTTAACTCTGAAGCTGGATATGTGGCAACTGAAAAGATATGACACCACAAACTGTATGTGGCAACAAAGCCAGCTGAACTTTAATCTTAATCCACTCAAAAGCATTGGCGTAGAGATTCCTAATCGAGCTCCTCTTGGCTTTTTGATCAGGTCTGTTACATCTAAATGTGTAGCTCGTCAACAAATTTTTTCAGGCAATGGCTGGTGGTGGTCAGTTACAAATCATGCTTGAATCCTAAAGCGAATTAGAAGCCTACCACATGATCTCTTCATGAGTTGTTAAACAACAAGTAGTTTCATTGGAAACTACAGGGCATCCCCAAGAATTTGATGCACGAATACTAGCAATAAACAAGCTACTACAGGCAAGCATGAACATCAACAAAAGGCAAAACTCAAGCATGAAACTTTTGCATGGCTAAGAAACTTAAGAATGCAATTCATTTCTTGCTAGCCATTATGTAAAATCATCAGATGACTCCATTAAGTGTAAAGGTAATACATCTGTAATGCACTTGAATCCATGAAATTGCTAGTTGAGTTGTGATATTGGGTGCACAATATCCAGAAAACTTACACCTTATTGAAGAGATAAGCCTTCCCATGCCTGCATTGGAAAGACTGAAGGAAAAGAACAGAGGGAAACCACTAAGTCAGTTTTGTGCATGACCAAAACTCCCAGAAATTCGAATAGTCAAATTCTAAAGAACTGTAACCTCAAGTCCTTAGAACAATGAAGAATGCATTCATAATTGCACCTAATTTGATTTTGCAAAGTTCCTGCACATGGTTGCTTATTTTCCATGGGTGTAAATCAGTAAAGCCTCATGTTTCAAATCAAGTTAACCAAAGAGTTGCATACGTGAACCCCACTAATCAGCTAGAAGTATGCATTTGAATATTGTAACCTAACTGATGCATAAATACTATTTTCATAACAGGACAAATAACAAGTGAAAACTGGTCACTAGGTCCTTGATGGCCAAGCAGAAGCACGCGACACAACTCACAAAATACAAAATGCATTCAACGATCAAGGTACTGCGTTTCGGTCTATTTTGAAACCAGTACAGCGAATGCCCCATTTTGACCATTGACCAAGAGAGGCAATGAATCTATATAGTGTCAACCCTTCAAATCACAACCTCATAGAGAATTGAAGGAAATGCCAAATTCTCGAAAATCAATCAACATAAAGCACCAGAGAGAGCATCACTTTGTAGTTGATGCTTTGACTTAGTCCCAAATGAGAAAAGTATTAGCCCCTTCTCCTCCCTTCCAGTTTCCACTGAAGTAGCAGAATTCTAATCAAACATGTCCGCTTACCAAACAACTCCAGCAGAATTGCACAAACTTGAACTTGAAGTCAAAGAATTCCATCACAAACAATATAATGATAATTCCAGCGAAGAAGCACAATCTCAATTACAAAAATACACATACGGAACAAAAAAGGAAAGAATTGACAAATCAGAAAGCAGACAGTAAATCAAATCAGATACAATGAGAAAATATCGATCTTTTATACGAATAGACTAACAACAATAGATGGAAATGAAGGAAAAAACCTTGGAAACGATGTCTTCCCAAAGGGCAAGATGGGTACCACAGTGCTTGCAGCAATAGATCTTCCCTTCAAGGCTCACCACAAACAGCCTTCCCATCTGTCTCTCTCTTTCACTCTTTCACGCAGTTGCCTTGGCTGTCTTGTTTTCTTTCTCTCCGTACTCCTTGCTAGTTTCTTGTATACAGTAAAAACAGGGAAAAGGGAAAGAATTCAGAACTGGGCTATTCAAGGAAGTATAAAAAAATGGGAGTAAAAGAATAGTTTTATGGAGGGGGTGGCGATGGGATAATGCAGTGAAAGTGAAGAAAAGAATAAAAATTGACACAAAAGGAGAGAGAGGGACAGAGACAAAGGGTAAAAAAGAATGTAATACTAGTAGTAGTCTAAAAGCAAAACTCTAACCTCTGAAAGAAGAAGAAATGAAGGTGCAAGCATGAAGCAACTAAGCAAGGAAGACGCAAAGGAAATACCAAATGGTTAGGAAGGCAAAAACCAAGAAAGAAATTGTAGAAAGGTGGGTGGGTTTCTTGCGGTTTATGTGGACAAGTCTCCAACGCACACTGCCAATTCTTGCAACACGTGTTTGTGACTTTGCGCAGCGTAAACCCAACCATTCGCCAGATTTCCCTCTGGGTCTGGGGAGGTTTCGGCATTTTAGCCACCAGCAAGGAGCAAACTACAGTGTCCATCAACCAATACATTTGCCCCTTGCAGAATAATTATCTCGTCAGACCCCCTCGCTCTCTCTCTGTTCATACTATGCCGTTTATTATTAACCATGGGAAAACCCCAAGTTCTTCCGCAAAACAAAATTAAAAAAGAAAATAAATTTTTTTTTGAGACAGGAAAAGAAAAGAATTCAAAAAATAATTACTCAAGCATTGAAGTTAATTAGTACTTGTTAATGCTCTACTAGTATAATCCAACAGGGAAGAAAAGAGAAAACCATCAGTAACTATAAGAGTTTTTTTAAAAACATTTTTCAGTTATGTTTCGGATGAAAAAAAGATTGAGACCTCCTCATACGTATATATTCTTTCATTTTAGAGTTGACTCAGAGTTAAAATCCTGCTGTCAATTTTAGAGTCACCGTTGAGGTTGAAGATAGTAGTAGAGAGGTGGAAACGTTAAAAACCAAAAAAAAAAAAAAAAAAAGTCCCTTCTACGTACTGCACAAGGAAGGATAATGGTTAAGTATATAGTCAACAATTATTGATTATCATTGATATGCCTTCCAATTCCAAACCCCAAGAGTACAAGGATGCACTAACACTTAATTAGTTAAATATACCGTTCAAACGACCATGATATGGCTAAATACACCTAATAATGAACGTTTTCTTATGGCTAAGATTTATGCACTCACTTATTTTTTTGTTTCTAAAAATACATCATGAGAAATTAAATTATCAACTTACAATAAAGTGCTTTTGTCAGGGAAAGGAAAAAACATAGGGTGCATTTCATAAATTTGAAATCTATAAACTGAAATTTAGCCTAAATCCATTAATATATTGAATTATTAAATACTAAATCTGATACATTTGACTGTATATCACATTCAGTGATAAGTGAATAATTTATCACTTAATTTTGGAGGTAAATTTTGTTTAAAAAATTCAGTGCCATTTAATTAATTCAAATGTTACATTTTTTTTTTTATCAAACACATCTGAATATATTAAGATTTGAATTCATTAAATTTAGGACCCTATTTGATAATCCAATTCACCACTTAAACTTAATGAATTTAGATTTTAACATATTCAAACTATTTGATAAACCAAAAATTGAACATTTAAATTAATTAAATAGCACTGAATTTCTTAGATAAAATTTGCTCTAAAAATTAAATGGTAAACTATTTACTTATCACTGAATGTGATATGCACTCAAATGTATTATATTTATACTTAATAATTTAATGATTTAATGATTTCAAATTTCAAATTTCAATTTTACCAAACGCACCCTAAATGATCAAGGCAGTGATTTTTTTTTTCTTGGGGTCTACTAATGGAAAAACACGACAGCAATAAATTTTACAAACTGACGATCTCAAAAATTACATGTGGTGTTTGCACCACTAATATGGTGTAAACATATTATTTGTCCGTCATAAACATATTAGTGGTGTAAACATATTACACCACTAAAATTATTTGTCTTTCATAAATATTATATTTTAGTTCTTTTTTGCTTCTTTAAAGTTCAATAACTGTTAATTGAGTAATACACAAAATTTAACAAATTCAAAAAGTAAAATGCATGAAAATGAGATTTTTTTAATGAATTTTATACTATATTTTTAATTTTCTATTATAAATTCTTTTGAAATTATTGTATTTAATTTTTACTTAGTTAATAGTTATTAATCTAAACAAAATAAAAAAAGAACTAAATATGATATTTATAAAAAATAGTAATATAATAAAAAGTGGGACAGAAGATTCGTTGCATCGTAAAAATATTCATAATAATTTATTTATATGAATTAACCTTTTCTACACTGATAATGTATATACTATCATCAGATGAATGATAACTATGTAAAATTTGAATTCATTTATTATTGGCTTCTTCAAGGTGGGGTTGGGGAGGAGAATTGCCTGTCAGGTGGTCCGCAATTAGGGATGGCAACGGGGCGGGGGACCCCTCCCTCGTCCCCCGCCCCTGCCTCGCCTTGCCCCGCTTCCCCCACGGGGTTAATAAAATTTTATTATATAATTTTATTATAATTAAATTTTAATAAATAATCAAGTACTAAAATATCAACACATCACCAAATTATTATTCATTGTAATTTTACAATTGAAACTCATAAAAACAATCAAACAGAAGTTATTTGAATACAATCCAATATGATGAAATAAATATAACTAAAATAGTCAAGTTTTCACTTTTAGTACAAATGCAATCACTAATTCATTATTGTGTTTGTACTTTTTTTTGAGAAAAAAGTATTATTTTATTAAATGTAATTAGAAATTTAGTATAAATGTATTAGTAAATTTAGTATAACTAATTAATAAATTTTATTAGTAAACATGTATAATTATTCATATAATTGATAATATCAATTATATTACATAAACTACTATACATTATATAATACATCTAACTAATAATATCATTATCATAAGTTTATAATTAATTAACTTACATATTATATATAATTATATATATATTTTTTGCGGGTGGCGGGGCGGGGTTATACTCCCCCGTCCCCCGCCCCGTTTCTAAGCGGGGGGAAAAAATTCCCCCCTGCCCCCGCCCTATCCCCGCCCCAACCCCAGCCCCGAGAGCCCCCGCGAGCACACGCCCCCATTGCCATTCCTATCCGCAATCACCTAGTGACCGTTCCCGGAATTGAAGAGAAACATGGGGGCCCGTTAGTTGGTTCAAGTCAATAGACAGCGAATGCCAATCAGGCAGCCAACCTTCTTGTTGCCAAAATAAAAAGAAAAACAAAAATCGCATGCACATTTTATTAGACCTGACGTAGTCCTCCACCACCACCAACGTTGCGGAGCTTTCCTGTCTCTAAATTCTAAAATCTACATGATACGTCGAATTCCGAAGTTTCTCTTCCACCAAATTAGCAGTAATTAGTAGTATTAATTGCCAACTTCAAGTACTCGATGAATTGAGGAATCTATCAATCGCGACTACGACTGAAGGGCCTCTAATCTAATGCGTGACTTCAGGCTCTCATCTCACGGGCCTCCCATGTCAAATTTAAAAACAATTTTTGTGGGATCATGGGATTTGTTGGTCTAACTTCTAAGGGTGGACCGACCACGTTACTCATCAGTACGATGCGATGCGATGCTGTACAGTGAACTGCGTACACAATAAACTATTTGTGCAAAAGCTCTTTTCCTATCCTTTTTGGGCAGGGGTGGCAATTTTCGACACGATCTGAAAACACGACACGAACCTAACACGAAATTAATAGATTTGGGTTGAGGTTTCGGGAATTCGGGTCAGAATCGGGTTGAACCCGATAAACCCGAAAAGAAAACAGGTCGATTTCGGGTCAACCCGTGGTGACATGATATGACCCGTTTACGAATTAACAATAATTTAATAAACATAAAAATAATTTTATCTAACTAAACTAAGTTATTCTTTTTTTCAAAGGCATTAATTACTTAATCCTAAATGAATTTATTTAATTTGTGTGAAGTTAAAATTATTTGGACAAATAATATATTATATTATTTTTTACTTTTATACTGTTTTAATTTATTTTATATTTTGTTTGGGATAAAACACTTTTACAGTGTTTAATTTATTTTAGATTTGATTTGAAATTATTTATTTAAATTTTTATTACTTGATTATGTAATTAGTTTTGTGAGAAATTAATTTTATTAGAAATTACATTGATAAATTAATAAATTAAAATTAAAGTTCGGGTCATTTCGGATCGACCCGCCAACCCGAAATTTTCGGGTTCGGATCAGTATACCTGACCCGTCACGGGTTGGTGGGTCGGGTTCGGGTCAATAGGCTTTCTGACGGGTCGGGTCAGACCCGACCCGTGAACCTGATTTGGACCCGAATTGCCACCCCTATTTTTGGGGATACATCAATGATGACACGTAGTAATTTACAACAGAAATCGCGTATTCTTTGTAGATTATATTGGTGAGGCGGAGGCCTCAGAGTTCGAATGTTGGAATGCGATTTTTTTTTTCCTGTTCACAAGGAAACCGCAATTGCTATTTGAGAGTGTACATTGAATAAATTTCGTCCCGTATAATAACTCATCAATAATACAAAAAAAATAAGACGCGCTAGACAAATCCCATGCGACGGATATATAACAGAGTTTTATGCTTATTCCTCTTCAATTCTTTGCATGCGTGTTATTCGATCATAAAGACGAAGAAAACAAACCCTAGAATTAGTCTCCTAGAGATTGTTTTGTTCCAAAATTCGACAAAGGAGGGATGTCCGCATCAACCATCAATTCACTTGCAAGATTGGACTTGTTTCCCCTTTGGCCCGTAAATTAATTGTACCAAATGCAACAAGACAATGAAAACAAACAGGAGCAGCAGCATTGTGTGTACTGCAAGTAAAAATACACGCTTAGAAAACCTTATATGTGATATGATGTACGTGATAAAGCTCAATTCTATATACGAGAAAATGACCCGACCAAATAAAATGTCTATGTTTACCGTAGAAAAATGCAATAGAATGTTAATAATAATCCCAGAGTACAAACCATAAACGATGAATACATAGGATAACACAGATAAACCAAGAAAATAGGTTCCAATTTCACATTCTCGAAGTGTATCCTTCTGTTCATGCACGGTGATGAATGTACGTTAAACTTGCAATAATGCAACATCCCTCTTGAGCGGCGCCCTTTCCGCACAGGTAAACCAGTCTACTTGCCAACAGTAACACGACGCCAAACCACAACCACAATCAATCATGCGTAACGATTCATGACCAGCGGGGTACCAGCACAGCAAAGCTGAAGATGCAAGCTAGTTATCCAACTCGTCCCGTTTCCATTATCATTTAGCACCAGGGTTGACAAAAGAGCTACGGATTTTTTGCAAAAGGGATGACTGTATATTGCAATTGGGGAAAGGATAGCACCCATCAAATTAATCTTCCGCCTTTACAAGCAATAATGCAAATGCCTTTTATCGTAATGGACCACAAGGC